TGCTTTTACAAAGACACCAAGCTCTTACCTGTGGAAATTCTGTGTTTCAGTGAAGGGAAGTGAATTACAAGGATTTTATTCCTCAAAGAAGCTGCCCCTGCCAGACAACTTTTCTGTGAGCTCATTGCACAGGCAATTTGCCCTTGTGCACTTGGCACCTTGCTCATCTCTTAATTTAAATGGTCCAGGTGGGCGAGCAGAGCTCCTTAAGGCCCTCCTTGCTCTCTGCCACTGAGGCAAGAGAACAGCCTTTACTGAAGTTCCCCTCTCTCTGCTCTCACTCCTGACAATAGACGAGGAAAAAATAAAACCATATATTTGGTTTTGGTGAGTGTCTTCATGTGGCAACCAGCCTTGAAAGGAGCCTGAGGAAATGTTCTGCTTCCTCCTGCACATAAGCTAACAACCTGCAAAGCCAGGAAGAAATAATACCCAGGTTGCATGAAAAGAATAGGGTGACAGGTGAATTTGTTCCTCATTTGGTTCCAACAGAGATCTTGAATCCAGCCAAGACACTGGAAATCTTCGTCACCCTTTGAATGGAAGTAGCACGTTCCTTGAAATGGCATAATATCAGTGTTTTAGATTGGAATAGAAAATTTGGATGGCAAGAGGACATGATTATCTGGATGTGCTAAAGACACCTCATCATTTCTCTGCAAAAATGTTACCTTGACTACATGTCTTTCATCAGTGAATGATTATATCACATACCAAGGCACCCACATTGGAACCCTACATTCTTCTTTCAACCTTATCTCCCAGTTAAGTCCTGTTGTTTTTCTCCTGAATATCTCTTTTCTCTATCTTCTTCTCTTCATAACCATTGTCAATTACCCAAATCCTCTTAATCTCAGCGTCCTCACCCATCCTCCAGAGTGATGCTTATAATCAAGGAATAGTAATTATCATTATAGTTAACATTTAATATGGGCTTACTAGGTGCTGGGCACTGTGCTACTAACTTTGCCTCTATCCTTTTATTTACTTTGATAATAGCACATGCTGCTCTACAGTTTTTAATGATTTCCTTCACAGAAGAATAAAATTGCATTCTTTAATAGAGTGTAATAATCTGGCCCACTCCTGACCATGATTCACCTCCTGCCACTGTCACTCTTTCACTTGGCACCTGCATGATCAGGCACTACTCACAGCTCCCTTCACACGCTCTCATTTTCTGTACTTTTAGACATGCTGGCCCTTGTCCCCTACTTGCACCCCCCAACTCCAACTTTTAACCTCTGGTACCTCATTAACAGGATCACTTTCTTAGATGACACAGTTTCACCATTGCACACCTTAGAGAACAGTAAGATGAATATTTTGGAACCTCACTATTAAACTTCATTGCCACAAATTGTCAGTGCCCTCAACATACTATGAATTCGATATTCAAACAATCTATGCCAAAAGGAAGGCTTTAGATAACTGTTACAAAATCCAAATCACAATTTTTGCCAACAATCAATATTTAACTGGCCAATCCGGTGATGGGGTTTGTGAAAACACACTCCTTATGTGGCAAATTTTGCAACCAGATTCTCTTTAGGACAGGGATCTTTGTCTGTTTTATTTCATGCTTTCTTCCCACTTTCTAGGACCAAACCTAGAGTATTTTGACACTTGAATATTTATTTTGTTGATGCCAAAAGACATTTTTATGGCTATAATAAACATTTGGATATATACACTTAATTTTTCCCCACATTTTAGTTTCATTTTTGATGATGATGGGAGTGTAAACATTTCTAAGAGGCAATTTAGCAATATGTATCACAACCCTAAAATAATGTATACGCTTTGTGGCAGAGACTGCAAACTGCCTACTCAATATCTATTTCCCTCTTCTTTACTAAGAGAAACAAATACTTCTTTACTAGAGAAATCCTTCATGATTGAGAGGAAAATGTGTCCAGCTAAACTTCTATATTTCCAAGCCTCCTTGCACCTAAGTATGGCTGTGTAACTGAGTTTTTATGGCTAGTGAGATATAACTGAAATTCTTGCAAAGGGCTCCCAGGAAATCTCCTTAGAAGGTGGACAGAACATTGATGAAACTTTGCTTCCCCTTCCTTGCTGAAGTCTAAAACTAAGGTTAGATGGCCAAATCTTTTGCAGTCGTCTTAGACTCATTGAGTCAAAAAGGGTTTATTACAGGCTGTTGGAAATATACAAAAGTTTTAAATGGGCTGTGAAGCTTACCAAGCTGGGGAGTGCTGGCCAAGGACTGCATGCACGGGAGATGATGTTCTGGGGCATATCCCTCTGCCATGGCCTTATTGGTCACCATTTGGTATTTATGACAGGAGAATTTCAGCTCATCTTAAAGAACCCAGGCTCCTCCTCCTCGACATCATCCTTTCCAGAGGATCTCGCCTTTCTCTACTTGCCCACCACCTCCTGAACTCCTTTCTGCCTCCAAGACTTGCAGCAGTGTGTGTGCATGGAAGAAATCAAATCCCCTTAGAACCTGGAGCTACCAGGAGATCTGGAAAGTATCATTCTCCTTTCTACTTTTCCAGTCTCTGAAGTACAGAAAGACACAAGCAAAGGGGACTGGAGCAGGTGTTGAGAGAACCAGTATGAGGCATTTGCCACTCTCTCAACTCAGTGTCACCTGCAGTTCTTTGTGTCAGGGCTGTGGTTCCGAATCAGCAGGGATATCCAGCAGTGGGAATAAATAGTGAGGTTTGTTTCATGCATGTTATGCTGAGGGAGAAAAAGTTACAGAGTCCAGGAAAGAGAGGCATTTAGAAGACCTCAAAAAATGACAGGAAATATCAATTACCGGCTAGGTATAGCCAATTCAATAATTCTGGGGAATCACATCTTCTAGCTGGCCTCCTGCTCTGACCATTGTTTCCTTCTCTGCACAATAATCAATGTGATTGTGATAAAACTCAAGGCACATCAAATTTCTCTTCCGCTCAAAAATCCCCAAAGACATCCCTGATAAGCTACAATCTGTGCTCTCCTTGCTCCCTCCTGGACCTCATCTCCCACCTCCTCCCAATGCGCTTCCTTTTGGCCACTGCAGCCTTTGTTTCTCCACTGTTCCAAGTACTCTCCTCCTTAGGCCTTTGCTCTGCCGCTCTGACTGGAATACTCTCCCCAGGCATCTGTGTGGGCTTTTCCTAGGTGACACTTTTCAGGGAGGACTTCACTGGCTACCCATCTCTTATTTAAGCCTCCCCTATCCACCAACTTTCTATGTCTGTTCCTCTTTATTTTTTTCTTTGCACTTACTGCCTCCAGTGTACCATATGTTTCAGACATTTGTCTTATTTACAGATAATCTCTTCCCACTTCCTAAAATAAAAGTCCAATGCAGGTAGAGATCACTGTGTCCTTTCTTTATCATTGTCTCCAAAGAAACTAGAGCAGTGCCTGGCACATGATACGTGCTTCATAGATACTTGTTGAATGGATGAATAAATGAATGCACTGGTTAAATTAAAAAGCCATCAGACTGATGACAAAATGAATTTTTCCATAGAGGGATCTAATGTAAGTGGGATTTCTAAGGAGACAGAAAAGGAAATTTTCTAACTCCCTCTTCCTTCCAGAGTTCCCTGGGGTGAGGACTGTGGTTGGAGGCTGTCTGCCAGCCACCTTCTGTAGAGAAACCCTGGGGCTGACATAGTTTAGCTGTGGCTGGGAAAGAACACTGGGTGGGGAGCCAGGAGAGCAGACTGCAGCCTTGCCTCTACCCTTCCCACTCATATGGCCCCTGATTTTACTGATGGAGAAATAGGATTCTGTGGGCTCGCTCCTACTTCCTTCCACGGTGTATTGGTCCTGAAGGAACGATTCACTGATAAGAGATTTATTCTCCATGGGTGTAACTGCAATGCTCAGGGGCTGCATTTTTAGCCTTTGAATTTCCTCCAGAAAGGCTCACGGCTTTAAAATTCCTTCTTTCCACCCCATAAAGTGGGGCCACATCCCCTAGGCTGGCCTTCTGCAGGCTTATGCTGACACTAAAGGTCCACAGGGCTACCCATGGCCTGCCTCTTTAGGACACTGCATCTCTTCTGCTGCTGCAATCTTGCTGTCCAACCTCCGTTGCTTCCCTAAATACACAAGCTTTCCCTGCACCTTTCACATGAGTGTCTTGAAGGAATCCAGGAACATTTTTCTTTAACCTGCCTGAGATTTGTTTTGGCAGGAGTTCTGAAGGCTGAAGTCTTGAGAGATTTGGGCTCTGTTAAATTATAGATATAAGTTCAGTGAAGTAAATAGCTCAGGCAAAAATTAGAGTACCCTCTCTGTTATTTCTGTGCTTGAAACTCTACCCATTCTTCAAACCTGACTCTAGAACTGTCTTCATCCACGAAGCCTTCCCAGGTCACCAGAAGGAACGGCATCCTACTTTCCCAGTGGCTGAGTGGCAGCACAGCATGGAAAAGGAGCCAGGCTGATCAGATATCCCAGGTCCTGTTAGCAGGTCACCTCAACCAAGTTCTCAAACTTCCCTGAGCCTCTGATTTCTCAGCTTTAAGCAATGATAGTGACAATATACTGCCTACTTGAAAATGCTAAGACTGTAATTTAAAAAGCTCTCATCCCCCAAAATAAGTATGTGAGTTCATGGATATGTTAATTAGCTTGATCTAACCATTCTACAATGTGCATATATATCACAACATTATGTCGTGCACCATAAATAGATACAAATTTTGTCCATTAAAAACAATTTAAAAATAATGACAGTGAAAATAATAGTACTAACATTTATCAAGGGCTTAAGCCAGGCACTGTGCTAGATACATTATATTGTCTGTTTTAATCAATCATCTTTTACAACCCTGTGAGATGAGGTATTCTATTATCCCTTCTTTACATATGAAGCTGAGGGTAAATAGAATGATAATTTATACCTCATTGGGTACTTAAAAATACAGGCATCCTATCATGCAGTAAGTACTCAATAAATGTAAGTTCCTTCTCCATCATACTCCCTAAACCAATTTGTATATGTTATTTTCAACACTTACCATATATTGTCTTATATAGTGATATACAGTACAGTTCCATCCTGATTAGAGTGTACAGGACAGGAGATGAAGGTTAGAGGCCTGGGCTCCTGCCCCTGGACATGTTACTTCATCTTTATGCACCTCAGTCTCTTTCACTGTAAGATGGGAATAAGACTGTTACTCCAAGGATTCATTGAAATAACATATGAATATAGTCTAGAATAATGCCTGGCATACAGTAGCTATTATTACCGCTATTATTTATCATTAAAGTTAAAATACATGTCACTTTTTGTTCAAAGTTTTCTGAACAATAAGACAAGTCTGTTCCATGTTTGTAATCCTGTTTGGGACTTCATCCTATGGCTTGGACACCATGAAATTATTTCTCAAAGTGCATCCAAAGGGACATCTGCATCAGAATGTCCCAAAAGCTTGTTAAAAGGAAGTGTCTTGTGTATCTCCCCAAAGCAAATGAGTCATGATCTCAGGCAGTGATCCAAAATTTTGTATTTTAACAATCTCTTCAGGTGAATCTGATGGACACTGAAGTGTGAAGACCATTTTACTAGGAGCACCAAATATCTGTGAATGAAATAAGCAAATGGGCATATGATTAAGCTAGTGCTAATAACTTTAGGTTACAATGACCCTGGTTTTGCTCCTGACATAGAATTTGTTACTTCAGTTGCTCATTTGGCTTTTCCTTGTCCCAAATCCTCCTTTAGCCCATTTCCTTGGATAGGTGGGATAGCTTTCTATTTAGGCACAGGTCTTCCTTAGGCTCTAAATATTTCCTGGGAGTTTTTATACCCCAGCTGATTCATCGACAACATGTGCATAAATTTATGCACACTCTGGGTTATGGCCTCTGAGTATCATCCTGAAGCTCTATTAAGACAAGTTATATTGATGAAGGATATAAGAAAACAAATACCTCAAAATTTTCAAAATACTATAATAATAATTTTAATAGGCATTTAGATCTTTTTGACCTGAACATTTTAGCAAAGGGAAGAACAAAAACTTGAGTCACATGAAAGACATGAATTATATACATAGGCATTTTGGATTTATTTTCACACCAACTAGATGTTTTTAAAGGATACTTTTTAAAGCATCACTAAAGTAAGAGATTATTGTTCTATAAAGACATGTCATGCCAACATTTCAGTAGAATACTACTTCTTTAAAAATAAAAGAGAGGAAAGACAGGATAGTGATGTGGTCAGCAGAGTAATAAATTAGATTCACCTGGCAGAGTTCATTCTTCAGGTCTGAGGAATGTAAAAGAACACATTTCTAGTGAATGAAAAAAAAAACCCACAGAAAAAGAGACCAGTTGCAAAACATGAAAGGAGAGGTTACAGTCTCAAAACCCCGACTCCAGCACAAACAGCATGTCGAGGTTAAGAGTCATACTCCCTGGGTAATTTCTATACCAAATATGCAACATTTTACAAGCCAAACAAAAGCTGTCAAGCCCAACAAAGCCCAAGCTAGTTTAATTTCCCCCACAAAAACGAAGACAATAACAACCTAGAATTGAACACTTTTTTGTTAATGGTGCCTATATATTAAGTTTTTAGTTGAGTTGGATAGTAAAAAACTACACACTAAAATGACTTATTCCAGAAGGTAGTAATTGTCATATGCTAAAAAGCTCACCCTAAAGTTCTATAGCATTTGCATGGTATCAGCTCTAGCAAATTTCTCACCTCTTCATGCTTTAATTTCTTCATCTGCAAAGTTAGAAAAAGAATTCTGCCTATTATGTGGTTGTGAGGATTCTATATTATAATGCCTGTAGAGCTCTTAACACAATTCATTGCATACCATAAGACCTTAATCAAAACTAGTTTTATTTTATTTTATTTCATTTTATTTTTTATTGCATTTTAGGTTTTGGGGCACTTGTGAAGAACATGCAAGATTGTTGCATAGGTACACACATGGCAGTGTGATTTGCTGCCTTCCTCCCCTTCACCTATAGCTGGCATTTCTCCCCATGCTACCTCTCCCCAACTCCCCACCCCCTGCTGTCCCTCCCCTATTTCCCCCCAACAGACCCCAGTGTGTAGTGCTTCCCTCCCTGTGTCCATGTGTTCTCGTTGTTCAACACCCGCCTATGAGTGAGAACATGTGGTGTTTGATTTTCTGCTCTGTGTCAGTTTGCTGAGAATGATGGTTTCCAGGTTCATCCATGCCCCTAACAAAGGACACGAACTCATCATTTTTGATGGTTGCATAATATTCCATGGTGTATATATGCCACATTTTCCCTGTCCAGTCTATCGTCGATGGGCATTTGGGTTGGTTCCAGGTCTTTGCTATTGTAAACAGTGCTGCAGTGAACATTCGTGTGCATGTGTCCTTATAGTAAAACGATTTATAATCCTTTGGATATACACCCAGTAATGGGATCGCTGGATCAAATGGAATTTCTATTTCTAGGTCCTTGAGGAATCACCACACTGTCTTCCACAATGGTTGAACTAATTTACACTCCCACCAACAGTGTAAAAGTGTTCCTTTTTCTCCACATCCTCTCCAGCATCTGTTGTCCCAGATTTTGTAATGATCACCATTCAAACTGGCATGAGATGGTATCTCAATGTAGTTTTGATTTGCATTTCTCTAATGATAATCATACAAGATTTAGCTTGGAGACAAAGATGTCCATCTGCATTAGAATGAATAATCCATGTTTACGACCCTAATAATAATAATGAGATACAATGTTGTATAGTCCTAGCAGGGGAACTAAAGCTCACATGGAAACTGAAGAACATGGAAGTAAATCCAATTATCTGAACACCGAGCAGCAGGAAGTGTTTGATATATTTTAGTTGGACATAGCAAGCTGTAAAGGAGATGGTACTTTTAAACAGGACTCATGTCATCAAGAAGTTTTTCTATATCAACAATAATTCATCATATATTTAGGAAATAGTGCCAAATGCAACCCAGATTATCTGAGTTGTAATTTCTAGGGATAATGGTCATCTGTTAACTTCCTTGCCTCTGAGATATACAAAACACTGAATATGAATTTGTATGTTTTCACAAAGTACATTGTAATAGTGAGGGAGTAGGTAATATTAATTTCTGTTTTCCATTGGACAGAAAGAGGTTCAAGAAGATAAAACTGCTTTCATAGAGTCATTCAATTGAAATAGAAACTCCATCTCTTAACACCAATTTTCAACTTAACTTCTGTAAAACTCACTGCTTTCACATGGGCTTAGAGTGTACAGTAGCCCTGATTTCCTTTGGTTTCATTTTCAAGAGTAATAACTCATAAATTTAAACCAATTCCATGGTTTGTCCTATCACTGGATATGGTTTAGGGTGTTTTTCTTTGCAGCTTCTAAGAAAATGTGATGCAGGTGTGAGTCTCATGCTGGGCAGGATTAGAAGGCAGTGCAGTCCTGGGGGCTCTGGGGACCCACACCTTTGGTTTTCCATTACAAGCAGGTGCACCAAGCTGTGATCAAATACAAGATCTGAGAGAGAAAGGCCTGCATTCCAGGAAGCAGCCTCACCTTCCAAGCAGGATGCCGCAAGGTAGTTGGGTGAAACTTGAGGATCAGAGAGATGGCTGTCCTGAAAGGAGCCCCCATCAATGGGGAAGTTTTATATATGGAAAATGCGTGTTAGAGTTTGAGATGATGACCAGTCAAGATAAGAGCAGTATGGTAGAACAGTATGCTATAACAGAAGCTGAAAGGTCACTGACATAGAGCCTATTATTTTAAAACAAATGGTTAAACAAAACTGTAAAGAAAGTAGAATCTGTAAAGAATAGATAGTCCAAAACTCGCAAGCAGAAAGCAAATGAAATAAGAGAAAATAAGCTTTTTGGTACCAGTGTTAGTCATCATTTGTTATTCTCGGAAATAAAAAATACATATGTCTAGAAATATATACCTTAGGGAAAACATCAGAAACACAGCAAAGATTTCTGCTAGATGTTCATCACTGTGTTACTCAGATTAATAAAATAATGGAAGCAGATTTAACGTTCAACAGTGAGAGCATTCTAAATAATTTAGCACATATTAATACAAGCAAATATTAGACAGCCATTAAATACGTTTTTAAAGACTGTTTTATGACATGAAAATGTTTAATATATTGTATTTAGTAAAAAAGCAAGGCATAAAACATGTATGCAGTTTGATTTTCTGCAAAAGAAACACAAGAACATAAAAGAAAAAAAAAAAAAACTGGAGGGAAATGCCGTAAACAATGATACCCTATCATTAGGTGAAGAATTTGTGAGGGATTTTTGTATTCTTTATGTTTAAATTTTTAAAAAATACTGAAAAATACAACTAGCCTTTAATAATATGGAGAAATATTATTTGAATAAAGATTATATAATAAACAAGCACAGAAAGATGGCCAATGTGCCTGGAAACCATTTTTTTCCCTACTAAAAGCTACTGTGCATATTAAACCTGAAGAAAAGCAATTCCAAATTAACCTTATGCAGCACCAACCCCATGACTACCTTGATTCAAACATACAGGAATTCACCAAGACCACACTACTCAGCTGGCCTCAGGAATGCACATGTCTGAGCCATTTCCCTTTGGCCATGTGGGGAACATCATTCCCATATATCCAGACTTGTAAGCAGTCCAAGTTCTGTCATTTTCAGTGGGTAAAGGGGGAAAGAGGGCTACGTGATGGCATGCATAGAATCACATATCATCTCTTGTGCCATTACATCTTACCAGCTTTCTCCAACATGCTGTTTATTTTTTTCCCCTCAAGAATTTGTCCAAAATTTGATATGTGTAAAAGATGTCTGTTTAGCCTTCCTTCCTTCAGTGTTTTTACTATGCATTCAAATATGTGATATAAAAAGAAAACTATCTGATTACCTTTAAAACTTTTATATTGTCTGCATTGAATTCTTTCTATTTATTGTTTATTTGGTTTTTAAATGTTCTCCTCTTGGAAAGTGAGCATTTTCATATGCTGCAAGTAGGAATATGAACTGGTACAACATTTTTAAAGGATCTTTTAGTGATAAAAACCATATATACACATATGTTCATATAAGTTTACCTACTTGAAAGTATGTCATACCCTTTAACCCCAAATGCCACTTCAACAGGTTTATTCTAGGTAAAGTAATCAGCAA